GTTGGTCAAGAGGATGACACTTGTGTTAGTTCGGCAGACGTGCGAACGCTCCCCCACAGGAAGCGGGTAACAGAGCGGTGGTTGACTTACACAAACAATTCTTTTGTCAAGCCCTATATAACCCGAGCATTGTGCTATGCAAGCCTTTTAAAAATTGAAATTTCTATGCTTGAGGACAAACCCTATGAGTTAATTAACCCTTAACTTCTCATCCCAATCTTGAAATGAGTTGCTAATGGTTTAAATAAAATTTATTTTTAGAATTTAGAGGTAGAAAACCTGATAGTAACTAGATCATGGGAATAGGGTGGAATGGTAGGAAATCACCTATGTGAGGAAACATAACTCGTAATTAGTTCGCCCTATAGGCATGTTATGCTAACGAGTGTCGAAGAGAGCAATCTTAATCTCCTTATCTATCTCTCTATCCTTTTGAGCTCCTTATCTTCCCAATCTTCGGAATGTCTCGTAGCTTTTCCTTTGGACCACAAGAAATTCCTAATCTCCTTCAGAACCTAAGAGAAATCTTTATCCCTTATCCTACCCAAGAATCTTGGCAGAATCTCCTTTGTATCTTAGCCTTATCTCCCGATCACAGCAAGGATAGATAAAAGGGTTACAAGCATTATTCACATCGGAGAAAGCAAATACCATATCAAGCACACCCGATAGTTTTGGATGACCAAACCAGATAGTGACAAGTTTAAAGATACCAACACTCAACCTCGATGGATGGGCAGCACACAGACCAGAATGTTAACCTCAGTACTCAACCAACTAAAACCATACAGTCATGAACACGACCAACCATAAAGGTTGAAGCAGAACGGACAACACATGATGCCATCACTGCTCCCGAAGATCAGCCATGTCTGCAAGGAAGTAGAGATTTCAACCATGAAACCCACGGTGACGCGAAGAACCTCTGCCTCGACGAGCGACATGAGCAGAAGGCCCAGACGAAGAAGTACCTATGAACAGAAAGACGAACGATAAATACATGGATATTGACCCGTAAACTGAGAATGGAATTATAAACTAGAAGTATAGGATGTAACCTGCAGCATGAGAACTGGAAGCAAAGGAATGACCCCGATACACCTCGGTGAAGGTGGGACGACCTCAAGCGGTACCGGACTATCAGGAGGAACTACTTCCAACGGGACAGGCTCTGCATAGATTGAACCCGGATAAGTTAGAACCCTAGTAGCTGTAGCAAGTGAACCTAGGTAAGTAAGGAGGAAAAAATTCGTATATACCTGGAGAATGTGGCGATAGAACCCTGCAAGACATCGGTGACGGCTCCCTCTCCATGTACTCCCACTGGTGAGGGAACGGTCGATAGATCTGATGACTAATATCTGACACACCTCTAAAGTCACCAACAACGGTACGAAGCATCATAGCCATGATGTATGGCTGCAACGCTAGAGGTGAGTGCACATCCTGCTTGCACTCCAGCATTTGGTTCACCATCCAGTCCAACAAGTTAAGCTTTTCCCCGGACATCACAGCAGTTATGATCTCATAGAAGGGCCAACCAATGGCATTGTCATTACCTCCCGCAGAAGGCACGATGGTACGCCTCAGAATCTCATAAATCAGCTTCGGAATCCTCCTCAAGCCTCCTTGTGGACCATACACGGATGTCTCCTGGTAATGGAAACCTTGGACATCACCTGACTGCAACCTTGGAAGGTGAACAACCAACTTGCCTCGCTTCATCTCGTGGTAATTTAAACCAACAGCAGCTGCAAGATCCTTGAATGTGGCCTTGAACTTTCTGATGCCAGTCATCCAAACCAGCTTCTCTTTCTGAGCCCTAACCTCCAGAGTGGCATAGAACTGCCGGATCACTGCTTCATTCCAATCCTGCTTGAAGCCAAGCACATTCTTCCAGCCGACGCCTCTGAACATGTCAACCAGGCTCCTCATCTGCATGAAGCTTTCCAAATAGCCCCAGCTCACCCATTGTTGCTCAACATGCATTGGCCTTATATCCAAGCCTCCTCGGAACAGCCTAAACTGAGAGCCAGTGTGGAAATAGGATGATGGAGAATCTCTTGCTTGCCCGAAATGCCTGGATAGGCAAACCTTACTGAACTCCTCCGGCACCCAATGGTAATGGACAGCTGGAACTGCCAACATGTCCATCGGCTGTGTTCCTTCATCATCATCTCCGGAAGAATCAGCCCTTGATCTCTTCTCCTCCTGACGATTATGGGAACTTGCACCAAACCTGCAACGCAAGAAGAAAGATCAATAGATACTAGACTTGGATAAAACGAGACCTGTAATGGAAACTTTAAGCAACTATAAGTGCAATAATTCAAATGATGCGACCATGTGTTCTACAGCATGTACACAGAGTATATATGAAGTATACAAGAGGTACATGTAAGGTTTGGATAACAAATGAAACAGGTTGGAATGAAATCAGCAAGGAATAGACACTAACGGAGTATCCGCCAAGGTCCGCGTACCGTTCTTCGAGTTTGTACAGTGCAGTAATAAATCAGACCGAGAGCAAATACCAGTCCCGGAACATTCAGCCAGAGGTACCGGAATGTTCCGCCAACAGAGATCATACAACCAGAAGAGAATCAACCGCCCTATAGACTAGTCTTTCAGAGTGTCCGCAAATTTTCACGGACCGTCCGCTAAAGCTACAGGCAGTGTCAGTGAGTAAACTGAATTTTTTTGAGTAACTACGGAACCAGCATAACATTCCGCCAGATCCAACGGATGATCCGTCAACCGTCGAAGACAGAAAAATTAGAACAGTAACCGCAAGAACTTGGACCTCTCATAGCTTCAACATCAAGCAGTTTGACCTCGCCAAAAATTGCACAAAGGTATCCCTAGACATGCTCTACCAAATCCCTAAGAAGGTTTACCCCTAACCCTAACCAATCAAGAGATCGAGACAACCCTAGCTTTGGATGAAAAAGGGAATAAAACAAAAAGAAGCAAAGGAATTTGATGCGTACCTTCCCCTCATGATTGAAGAGGCGCGTGGAATCACCTGGACCACGGGAATCCACCAGAGAACGTGCACGAAGACGTCAAGGGCGCAGTCGCGGCAGTGGGGGCGACGACCTTGACACAAATAGAAAAAGGGAACCCCATCAGTCACCGTCGGCCTATTTATAGATCGTGGAGTGACGGAGAGTCCGTCAGCTGCAGCGGACCGTCCGTCAATATGGATAACTGACTCGAAGTTGACTGTCAACCTTTTAGTACCACTGGACCGTCCGATGATTGGACCTTACCGTCTGTGGGTTAGCAGAAGATGCCTCACGACCCCGTTTTCTATCTAGACAAATAGAGATATTCCAAGACATCAATGAAGCACGAGGAGCACCTCGTACCTTTCTCAACGTTGTGATTATCAAGTTCATCTAACGAAATGGTGATCAATTTGCCCCAAAACTCTATGGATCAAGTAAATATTGGAAGAGTAAAAATGTCGAACTCAGCAACCAGGGCCCAAGAACGAGAAACAGCAAGGATTTATGCCGGAAGTCACTGACCGGAATGTCAAGGTGAGACAATGGATTATACCTTGAATCCCGGAGCGGAAAAAGTCTTCGAGTTGTACTATAAGATAAGATGTCACCACAGGACACCTATCCTTTGGAAGCTTGCCCAATTATACTCCAAGGACGAGCTCTATTTTAAGGAGGGGAGGTTTTGTAATGACCCGAAATGTCGTTCCAATTCGAACCTTGCCCCTAGCCCTGTGAGAACTCTATCGGAAGCTCTGAGCCTAAGTAGTTGTTCCCTTGTGGAGATCCTTGGTGCCATCTATGAATTCGTTAGCTCATATCTAATATTAGCTAGCTAACTATTAACTACCTATTAGCTGGAGGGTGTTTGGATGCACAGCTAACGAAAAATGCTACTAAGATAACTAGCTATTAGCTACTATTATCTAATTTATTTGGTCCAACCAATGAGATAATTATTATTTAGAGGTCCAGCTAACAATTAGCTATTTTATTAACCGCTCCTTTTTGGATCCAAAAGAGATAACTATTAATATATAGCTATTATCAGGGCCTTAATTACCTGACTATTTACAACTGTACAACATGCAGTAATTTGGCCACAGATGCTGGTACAAGTCTCCAAATGCATCAACAATTATTTTATGAATATATGAAAACAGATTAGCAATGCAGCAATGCTTCTCTCATGGGGTCATCACTTGCCTACATCAACAAGAAAATGATAATAAACTTCAGATTTTCACCATCTGAAATATTGGCCATCGAATATATTTGCATACTAGTCGTGACTAATAACTGCCTATCAAGAATATAATAGATTTACTGCGACGGCACAAGGAAATGACGCCTCTACTTTTAGAGTATGAAATATTCGCTGCATAGGATCTGAAATATTCGCTGCATAGGATCTTGTCAGAAGCATTTGTTTTTTATAGAAGAATTACAATCAGCATATACAAACAATAGACGTTCAATTATTTTTCAAATGCCAGTGCCAGTTATAACTTGGCTGTATTCCACCTAGAAATAACTAAATTCCAAATTAGCACAATAAATGTTGAATATCTATAAATGCCTTCCAAATACATCTGGGATGCAGCTGTAAAACAGCACATAATAATGTGGAGTCCAGCTCTAAACTAGCACAGAATTCCCTCGCAAAAAAGAATCCAAAATTAACTATATTCCATGTTAACAACACCATCAGTGCTAAATATTTACATACGCCTTCCAAATATAAGTGGAATCCAGGTATAAAATAGCTCACAGTAACATTGAATATAGCGCAGCTGTAAAATATCACAGAATTACATACATTCAAATTAAATCTTTGCTGATCTTAGTTTCCACTTTGATCCTATGTATGTGCCTATATAAACGCTTCTACACCAATCCTGCATACTATCTCCATCAACATATATATTACTCTAAGACTTAGAAAAAAAACCAAATATTGGCATCTTGACCTTGGTGAAGGGTAAGGTAGCCATGGTAAGGAGAAAAATTGAGATCAAGCCCATCGAGAATGAGAATGCACGTCAGGTTTGCTTCTCCAAACGCCGCCAGGGCCTGTTCAAGAAGGCTAGTGAGATCTCCATTCTGTGTGGAGCAATGGTTGGTTCTGTTGTCTTCTCAAGCTTTGGTAAGTCATTTTCCTTCGGCCATCCATCCATTGATGATGTTGTGAACCGATTCCTCAATTCGGTTACTCCTGATGGTCCTGCTTCGAGTGGTGCAAACCATGATAACAGCTTGGCTGTAATGGGTACTGTCCAAGGGCTGAATATGGAGTATTTGGAGCTGCAACAGTCCATGGATTCTCAAAAGAAGAAAATGGAGAGGTTGCAAGAGGCAACTAAAAAGGAAATGGGAGAACGCATGATGCAGTGGTTAAATGCTAATATCTTGGAATTGGGTCTTGATGAGCTGCAAGAGTTCCAAAAGTTGCTGGAAGCAATAGATGGTGTTGTCAAAGAGAAGGAGAATAATATAGTGGTTGAAGCAAGGGAAACTGAAGGGTCAGCGACACAACCACCTATGGAGATAGCTTCAGCTTCGCAGTACCAGTTTGGTGAGCACATCAGTGCCAATTCTATGGCTTTCACAGCTCCTAGCTCAAGCAATGGATTCATTGATGGATTTGAGGTCAACGATCCATTTCTTAGTGGTGGTCTCCATGATGTTTGTGGCCTGGGGAATTTCCCCTACAACCAGAATCATGGTTGATTTCTACAAATTAAATATTTATGTTATGAATAATGTGATCAGTGATCAGATGCATGCATTGATCATTCACAATATGCATTTCGCAAGTGTTCTAGTAGTGTACCTTCACTTCTGATATTGATTGTTGTCACCAAGATATATCCTTGACTTGTTGTGAAGATGTAATCTAGGATTTATTACCATTGGAATTCTATGTAAAACAACATTTGTGTGATATATTTGGTACTATAGATCGAGTCCAGTGACCTGGTGATGTACCTTGCCAAAATGAGATAGCAACTGCTCAGAGATATCCCAATATTTTCAATCTGTATCTGCACATAATTCCTAGTAGTTTATGTACTTTTAGGTATTGGCCCATTCGTTACTACGGGCACATAAGGTTTGAACAAAAAATAGTGTAATAATGTAGAATGTCCATGGGATTAATGAATCCAATAATAACTTGTATGCTGCGAACAAGATAAGACATGGATTTGTATATATGATTATATAGTAGTTGAGATCTATATCTGTAAGAGAACATCACATCTAGTGAAACGTCGAACATATCAAGCTTTGCTAATAATAATGTTGGCCTGTCAGAAAGAGGGATGTCATGGCTACACTTTCTGCCGTTTGGAGCAGAAAATTCAGAACCATGGGGGCCCTTAGCACTGCATACATCACACTGCTGTCCATGAAGGACGGGGCCAATCATTTTAAGGATTTTAGACCTATGAGCCTTGTGCACAGCTTTGCTAAATTGGTCACCAAAATTCTAGCCAATCGCCTAGCAACTCGGCTTGGTATGATGGTGTCTAAGAATCAAAGTGCTTCCATTAAGAAATGCTTCACACATGACAATTTCATGTTGGTCCAATAAATAGCAAGATTTCTTCTTCAACAGAAACAGCCCTGCCTTCTTCTCAAGTTGGACATCATGAAAGCGTTTGACTCAGTATCTTGGCCTTTCCTCAGCTCCTTGAAGTGCTGAGAAAGCTCGGTTTTGGGGCTATTTGGTGCGACATCATTAGCGGGCTTTTGGCTTCATCATCAACACAGGTGTTAATGAATGGGATCCCTGGTGAGGTCATCTTACACTGGTGAGGATTATGACAAGGTGATCCACTATCACCAGTGCTCTTTATTCTCATGATGGACACCCTGGGGCACATGGTGTCTTTGGCCTCAAATGAGGGGCTCCTAATCCCTTGCAGCATAGGGTTTCTCTATATGAAGATGACGTTGTCCTTTTCCTTCATCCCACCTCTAGTGATATTGAAATAACCCTGGACATACTCCATTTATTTGGCGAAGCTTCGGGTCTCAGAACCAATGTGCAAAAGAGCAATGTGTACCATATTCAGGGCTCGGTGTAGACACTCTGATTGTGCAAGAGAAGCTACCCTATGAGGTACTGAATTTCCCTATAGGTATCTCAAGATCGCTTCAGTCATTGAGAAAATTAACTAGTGCCCAAATCCAGCCTATAATAATTGATAGAATTGCTAACCTATCGCTAATGGGAAAGTCGACATTTTGACACGCTTTTTTTTTTTGAAAGAACTGGAGGGCCAAACCCCTACAGAGAAAAGCTTATATTAAAACAAGAACAAAGTATAGAAGCAAGTTACAACAGGGGCTAAATTTAGGAGACAAAAAAAAGAAATAAAGAAAATGAGTACAGAAGAAAAGAAACACTTTAAGCCAGATTTAAGATCCATTGATCAAACAAAGAGCTTAGGCTAGGCTTCACTCTATGGCTGACCATTAAGGTTTCCTTGTTGAAGAACGTTCAAATCTTGGCTACTCATCTACACACCCTTTTTTAAAGAACTGGAGGGGCCAAGCCCCTCACCGAACACTTTATTAACAAAGGGAAAACAGGAGAGGTTACAGAGAGTTATAAGGAGAACAATAACAGGCGGAGGAGACAAGCTCAGAAACAAAGAAAATAAGCAAAGAAAGAACGTCGCAGACATAGAGCGATTTGAGATCTATTGCTCAAATAGAAGACTTGAACTGGACTTCACTCTATGGCTGACCATAAGCATCTCCTTGTTGAAGTATAGGTTCTGCACTCTTGAATGCCCATGCTGCAATCTTGGCTACTCATCTACACACCCTCAATGATTACTTTGTTTCTTCATTGTCCAAATTGTCTAGCTCATTAATTCATTGGGATAACAAAGAAACATGACTTGTCGGCCCTTGAAATTCCTTTTACCCAAGAGGAGATCAAAACACTATTGACTTCGATGCCGGGGATAAATCCCCAGGCCGATGGATTCACATGAGCCTTTTTAAGCAATGCTTTGGGACATTATTCAACATGATCTTACAAGTTCCTTAAATCAGTTATACAACACATGCACACCAAAATCTCGATCTCCTCAACTCGGCCAACATTATCCTCATCCCCAAAAAACCAGATGCTATTAAAGTAAGTGATCAGAGGTCCGTGAATGCAGTTTTATTGAGGGCTCACTGATTTGCAATCCATGTGTACTTGGCTGATTTTCTCTGTCTTTTGTTTCTCGAAACGCAGGAGAGCTGTGCTTCATTATATTAAGAAGAAAATACGGGATAAGAACCCAAACACCCACATACAAACACACTCTACACACGCCAAACTAAAGATTTACATTACATTCTCTTCCGCTAAACATAAAAAGAGGACCACAAAAACCAAACAACCAGGCCACTCTAAGGCAAAGGTGCCGTGTAGTCAAGGAAGAGAGGCTTCGCATCTTTGCTATCTCCCAAAGATGTCGTTCCTCACTGGTAGCATTAAGAGCCCTTGCAATGCTAGGAGCAGCTCACAAAAACACAAGAATTGCGGTGAGTCCAAAGAACCCAAGCACCTAGTACAACTAGAGAATTGAGACCTTTCTTTTGTTGTTTCGAGCAAAGATGCCATAATCATCCCACCAATCATCGAACACCACATCGGTTGCTTGAGGAGCAAATTATCGCAACCCAACCCGACATAGCAGGAATACCAGTATTGCCTTGCAAAGGGACATGATACTAGAAGACGATTAATTGTATCTTGCTCCTCGATCACACAAAAGACAACGTTCGCATGTAGGCGCACCTCGACGGGCAAGACGATCAGTTGTCCAACATCTGTCATATTCGACTAACCATAAGAAGAACTTGCATTTTCTGGGGGGGGGGCAGGTCTTCCAAATCCGTTCCCAAGGTCTAAATAGAGTTGATCCTTGAAAGAGATGTTCATAAGCGATTTTCTTTAGTAATCGCCCCGAGGGGATAGGCGCCATATATGAACGTCCTCCATTTCAGTCAGAAAGAGAAGTCCGTGAGAAGATCCCAAAATCAAGATACTCTACTAGTTCTCCAATCGATGAAGCTCCTCTTATATCCGAAATCTAGAGGTGTTCAGTGAGAGCTTCCGCTACCGTACGTTTCTTGATAGTTTTCTTAGCCACCAAAGAATGCAAACGAGGGGCGACATCTATAATGCGCTATCCATGCAGCCACCTATCTTCCCAAAAGAGTGTGCGAGTACCATCCCCTACTTCAGTGATTATGGCCATTGCAAAGAAGGCTCTAACCTGCTCTGGCACCTGAATCAGAAACATGCTCCATGGCCGATGGGGCTCAGTTTTATGCAGCCATAGCCAACACATTCGAAGTGCCCATCCCATGTTCTTCAAATCTGAAATGCCCAGCCCTCCAAGCTCTCGAGGGAACATCACCTTGCCCCAAGCTACTAGGCAGTGTCCTCCTCTTGTCTCTTTCCTTCCTCGCCATAGAAACCCTCTTCTGATTTTGTCTATTGCCTTTGTGGCCCATCATGGTAAGTCTCATCGCCATTATCGATAAATGAGCATGGCAATCATCACATCTGTACTTGTATTGCTCATCCCGCCTGCTCAAAAGATCGCCTTTCCATCCAGCAAATTTGGTCGGCGATCCGATCAATAATACACTGAGTCTGAGCCTTTGTGAGCTTCTTTAAAGAGAGGGGCAAACCAAGATATCGGCAAGGAAACTCTAAAACTTCACATGGAAGGGCGTGCCGAATTACCTGAATCTCCTCTTCTCCACACTGAATAGGATAAGCACTACTCTTCTGGACATTTGTCTTTAGGCCAGATGCATCCCCAAACAGGTCAAGTATATCCATAGTTATTTCAATGTCATTTATCTCAGATCGAAGGAATAAGACCACATCATTAGCATATAATGATATTCTGTGTTGGAGAGATCTAGAGGAGAGTAGCTGCAACAAACCATCTCTTGCAGCCAATGACACCATGTGGCCAAGCACATCCATTACTAAAATGAAGAGCATTGGAGAAAGTGGATCTCCTTGACGTAATCCTCGCCAGTGCAATATAACCTCACCAGGAATTCCATTTAATAGAACACGAGTTGATGAGGAGCCTAACAGCCCACTAATAATATCACGCCAAATTTGCCCAAAACCCAATTGTTGCATTACCTCAAGAAGGAAAGGCCAGGACACTGAGTCAAATGCCTTTGAAATATCCAGCTTGAGGAGAAAACAGGGAAGCTTCTGTTGATGCAAGAACCTTGTTGTTTGTTGCACAAGCATAAATTTTTTTTGGATAAACCTCCCCTTAATAAAAGCACTCTAGTTGGGAGAAACCATCTACTGCAAGCAACCAGCCAATCTATTGGCCAATAATTTAGTGACAAGTTTGGCGAAACTATGAACAAGGCTTATGGGTCTAAAGTCCATAGCACAATTTGCTTCCTCTATTTTGGGCAGCAGGGTGATGAAAGCTGAATTTAGAGTCTCAAAATTTTTGAATTTCCTACTCCAAACTGCTGAAATTGCTTCCATGACTTCCTTTTTGATGATTGGCCAGCACACTCTATAAAAACGGCCCGTGAAACCATCCGGGCCAGGTGCTTTATCCGGGGGCAGCAGCTGGATTGTATTCCATACTTCTTCTTTAGAGAAGGGAGATCAACCTCATAAAGATCATGAGAGGGGATCCCAAGAGCAGCAAGGTTAATCGTGT